TATCCTCTTCTGTGGCTTTATCCAGGCACTGATTACTGTTCACATGCTGCAGGGTTAATTTCACTGGGTCATACGCCCAGAGTTGTTTGCCTTTTTAGGTGGTGGCGTTTGAGTATGGTAATGGGGCCATTAAGTTTGGACACGTCCAAGCAAAGGTCATCTGTTCTAATTTCTTTGTTGGCAGTATAAGAGAAAAACTGATTACCTCCCATACCATGACAACTAAAAATTCCAACTTTTTCATTCTCTTTTCTAGCCATGTTATCTAGACACTGATTTGTTTCCACATTTCGTATCTCTCGCAGTGAGAAATAATGATGTGGAATCTGAGAATCAGGGTAGATATTCTCAAAGTACCAAGAGAAAGGTTTGCATTGTAGTTTGTGTCTCAGACCAAGTCTTGATGATATATCTCTATAATCTATCTTTGTAACACCAGGTGAAATTATATAGAAGAAATTCTTGAATTCATCCACACTTCTGCAAGTCGTCTGTTATTTTTATTGATGATCTGCCCCGTGCCTCCTGGAAATGTGTAAGGTGTTGCTTCCCGAAACACATGTCCATCATGTGAGCATGTAACAATTTCCAAAGTTCCTCCACGCTGCCAGGTCCTAAAGGAAATGTCTAGATTTTCTCCTCCCCAAATATCCATTCCAGTATCATACTTTCCAGTTTTCTGAAAGTAATCTCTGTCTATTGAAAAAAGGCCTGCCATTGTAGGTGTTCTGACAGAAAGAGTTTGATCAGCTTTCCTTCTGTACATTTCTCTTTGGGGAACAGGATACCAGCGAAAATTGAGTTTCCAATTAAATCCACCATACATCACATCAGAGCCTGCCATATACTCAAAAGTATCATCGCTGATCATATCGATGATAGGACATACCACTCTTCTCCTGTCCTGTTTGATCCAGGCTAAGAGAGGCTCCAGCCAGCTGACTGTGCACTCACAATGAGCATCTAAGAAGGTGATAGCTTGACCTTTGGAGACAGCAGCTCCTTTTAATCTAGCTCTGATCAATCCAGAACACTGTTCCATTAGAATTACTTGAACTGGCACTTTTAGTTTTTTCACATAACTCTCTAGAGGTCTTTTCAAAATGTCTCTTTCACTGGCATCATCTACTAGAACAATTTCTTCTGCCATGTGTCTTGGTGAGCAATTAATGACACT